GCAGATGTTGAGAAGCCCCTCATTGGAGGAACAATGGGTGCGGTTCTAGTACTGGGCTGCAGGTGACCCACAGGCTGGCCTCCCACGCTGTTCCTGGGGTCATGGGTTAGGTGTGAGTGTGCTTATGGAGGTAGAGGCTCACGAGGCACAAGTTGGAAAAATACATCTGGTGGGAGAGTTGTTGGGGTGCAGGTGACCCACAGGACTGGCATCCCAGGGTCTTGCTTTGTCCATGGGGGCAGTGTGAGTGTGGCTGTGTAGGCAGAGGCAAGCCTGAGGATGGCCTCATTGGAAAAACACACTTGTGAGCCGTGTTGGGATGCAGGTGATCCAGGGGCTGGCCTCCCAAGCTGTTCCTGAGGCCATGACGTGGGTGTGATGTTGGCTGCACAGGCAGAGGGTGAGAATGAGGAGGGTAGTGTTGGAGGAACAGAGGGTGCAATTCGAGTACTGGGCTGCAGATGATCCACGGGCTGGCCTGCCAAGCTGTGTCTGTGGCCATGGGATGGATGTAAGGGTGGCTGTGGAGGCAGAGGCAGAGGCTGAGGTGTGCCGCGGTAGCAGAACACAGGGTGCACTTCTGGTACTGGGGTGCATTTGACCAACAGGCTGGCCTCCAATGCTGTTTCTGTTCAGTGAGGTTGGTGTCAGGTTAGTTGTGGAGGCAGTAGCTGAGCCTGTGGAGGCCCTCCTTGGAGGAACACAGGGTGCAGTTCTAGTAATTGGGTGGAGGTGACCCACAAGCTGGCCTCCCAAGCTGTTCCTGGGTCCATGGGTTGGGTGTGAGTGTCACTATGGATGTAGAGGCTGAGGAGGCCCTAACTGGAAAAACCCAGCTGGTTGAGCCGTTTTGGGGTGCAGGTGACGCACAGGCTGTCCTCCCCGGCTGTTCCTGGGGTCATGGGGTTGATGTGAGCGTGCCCATGGAGATATAGGCTCACGAGGCCCTAGTTGGAGAAATACAGCTGGTGGGAGAGTTGTTGGGGCGCAGGTGACCCACAGGCTGGCATCCCAGGCTCTTGCTGTGTCCATGGGGAGGACATTGTGAGGGTGGCTGTGGAGGCAGAGGCAAGCCTGAGGAGGCCCTCATTGGAAAAATGCAGTTATTGTGAGTGGTGTTGGGATTCAGGTGATCCACGGGCTGGCCTCCAATTCTGTTGCTGTGGCCATGGGGTGGGTGTGAGGGTGGCTTTGGAGGAACAGGCTGAGGCTGAGGATGAGGCTGTGGCCCTCAATAAAGAACACAGGGTTACAATTCTACTACTGGTCTGCATGTGGCCCACAGGCTGTCCTCCCCGGCTGTTCCTGGGGTCATGGGGTTGATGTGAGGGTGCCCATGGAGATATAGGCTCACGAGGCCCTAGTTGGAAAAATACCGCTGGTAGGAGAGTTGTTCGGTTGCAGGTGACCCACAGGCTGGTCTCCCAAGCTATTTCTGTGGCTATAACTTGTGTGTGAGGTTGGTTGTAGATGCAGAAGCTGAGCCTGAGGGAGGCCTCCTTGGAGCAACACAGGATGCAGTTCTAAACCTGGTCTGCAGGTGACCCACAGGCTGGCCTCCCAACTTTTTCCTTTGGCCATTGGGTGGGTGTAAGTGTGGCTGTGAAGGCACAGGGTAGGGCTGAGGAGTGTAGTGTTGGAGGAACAGAGGGTGCAATTTCAGTACTGGGCTGCAGGTGATCCACGGGCTGGCCTCCCAAGCTGTGTCTGTGGCCATGGGGTGGGTGTGAGGGTGGATGTGGAGTAAGAGGCTGAGGTGGTCACCATTGTAGGAACCCAGGTTGCAGTTCTAGTACTGGGCTGCAGGTGACCCACAATCGGGGCTCCCAAGCTCTTTCTGTGGCCACGGGGTGGGTTTTCAGGGTGGCTCAGGTGGAACAGGCTGAAGCTGAGCCTGAGGAAGACCTCCTTGGAGGAACACAGGTTACAGTTCTAGTACTGGGATGCAGGTGACCCATGGGCTGGCCTCCCAAGCTGTTCCTGAGGCCATGGGTTGGGTGTGAGTGTGGCTATAAATGTAGAGGTCCTGAGGAGGCCCTAGTTGGAAAAACACAGCTGGTGGAAACATTGTAGGGGTGCAGGTGAGCCACAGGCTGGCCTGCCAACTGTTCCTGTGGCCATGGGGTGGGTGTGAGTGTGGCTGGGGTGTCACAGGCTGAGACTGAAGCTGAGGAGGCCCTCAATAAAACAACACAGGGTGCAATTCTACTACTGGTCTGCATGTGACCAACAGGCTGTCCTCCCCAGCTGTTCCTGGGGTCATGGGGTTGATGTGAGCGTGCCCATGGAGATACAGGCTCATGAGGCCCTAATTGGAAAAATACAGCTGGCAGGAGAGTTGTTCGGGTGCAGGTGACCCACAGGCTGGCCTCCCTATCTCTTCCTGTGGCCATGGGGTGTGTGAGGTTGGTTGTGGATGCAGAAGCTGTAGGAGCACCATGGGCTGGCTTTCCAAGCTGTACCTTTGCATGTGGTTGGTGTATGATTCTGGAAGCAGAGGCACACACTGTTGAGGTCCTCCTTGCAGGGACACAGGCTTCGGGACTGGTCTGTCAGTGGAAAACATCCACAGGCTGGTTTCCCAAGCTTTCCCCCTTGGGGACGGGTTAGGTGTGAGGATGGCATTGGAAGCAGAGCCTGAGGCCGGGGAGGCCATATTTGAACCAACACAGCGTTCAGTTCTAGTACTGGTCTCCAGGTGACCCACAGGCTGGCCTCCCACACTGTTCCTGAGGCCATGGGGTGCATATGAGCCTGTTTATGGAGGTAGAGGCTCAAGGGCCCTAGTTGAAAAAAATACAGCTGGTGGTACAGTGCTTGGGGGGCGGGTGACCCAGAGGCTGGCCTCCCTATCTGTTCCTGTGGCCATGGGGTGGGTGTGAGTGTGGCTGGGGTGGCAGAGGCTTTGGTGAAGTGGGCCCCGTTGGAGGTACACAGGGTGCAGTTCTAGTCCTGGGCTGCAGGTTTCCCAGTCTGGCCTCCCAAGGTCTTCCTGTGGCCATGGGGGTGGGGGGTGAGTGTGGCTGTGGAGGCAGAGGCTGTGGCTGATGAGTGACTCATTGGAGGAATACAGGGTGCAGTCCTAGTACTGATTGGAGGTAACCCACAGGCTAGCCCCCCCCCAAGCTGTTTCTGCGTTCATGGCCTAGGTGTGAGGGTGGCTCTGAAGGCAGAGGCAGAGGCAGAGGCAGAGGAGGGCCTTGTTGGAGGAACACAGGGTGCACTTTGACTACTGTGGTGCAAATCACCCACGGGCTGGCCTCCCAGCTGTTCCTGTGGTGTGGGTTGAGTGGAAGTGTGGAAGTGTGGAAGCCGAGGTAGACACTGGGGAGCGCCTCCTTGCAGCAACACAGGCTTCGGGACTGGTCCGTCAGTGGGCTAGATCCACAGGCTGTTTTCCCTTGGCGATGGTTTAGGTGTGAGGATGGCGTTGGAGGCAGGGGCTGAGAGCATGGGGGGCATATTTGAATCAACCCAGGGTGCAGTTCTAGCACTGGTCTACATGTGACCCACAGGCTGGCCTCCCGAGCTGTTCCTGTGGCCATGGGGATGGTGGGCGGATGTCTGTGGAGGCCCAGCCTTTAGCTGAGGCTGAGACTTAGGAGGCCCTCGTTGGAGGAACACGGGGTGCATTTCCACTACCGGTTTACCGATGTCCCTCAGGCTGGCCTCCTGAGCTGTTCCTGTGGCCATGGGAGGGGTGTGAGTGTGGCTATGGAGGCAGAGGCTGAGGCTGAGGCTGAGGCTGAGGCTGAGGCTGAGGAGGGCCTCATTGGGGCAACACAGGGTGCAGTTCTAGTCCTGGGCTGCAGGTGACCCACAGGCTGCCCTCCGAGCTGTCCCTTTGGTTGTGGGTTGTGTGTGAGTCTGGAAGCAGAGGCAGACACTGAGGATGGCCTCATTGCAGGAACACAGGCTCTGGGACTACTGGTTTGCTGTGGCTAGACGTACAGGCTGGTTTCCCAAGCTTCCCCCTTGGCGGCGACGGTTTAGGTGTGAGTGTGGCAGTGTGGAGGCAGAGGCTGAGGCGGGCCCGGTCGGATGATCACGATGTTTGGGACGGAAAAAGTACAGTGCAGTGCGGGTGTCCCACATTGTGGTTCCCCCTAGGTTTTCCTTCCTTCGGCCTTGAGACGGGCGTGGAGGGCCCGGGAGGAGGAGAGCAAGGTGGTATTACTTGCAGGCACACAGTGGTGTTTGGGGGTGCAGGTGTGGAGGGGAGGAGGTGGGGTGGTGGTGGAGGCAATGCCACTCTGCGGGGAGACAATGAGCACCTGCCCAGGGGCACAGGACTTGGACCCCAGGCCGGTGGGTCAGCCTGGGCACTGCGTCAGAATGCCGGCCTTCCAGAGGGGACCCACGTGCCAAGGCGGCCTTTTGGTGAGGCCTGCTGTTGTGGCAGGAACCGTGGCGTGTGGGGACTAGTGTGGTGGAGGATTGATTGCGGCTCCTTGTTCATCCCTGGGTGATGGGCATGATATGTCCGCCAGGAGGTAGCCCTGGCCGTGGTTATCCATGAGCTGTCAGCGAGCTCAGGCTCCTTCCTGCCCAGTCAGGGTGAGTTGTGCCCTCCTCCCCCCCCCCTCCCCGGGCAGAAGCCCGCTCTCCCTCGGGTTGGTGCAGGTGATTAGCAGCGTCTGGGCGCTTGGCCCCGCCCCGCCGGACTCGTCTACTCGGCGGCCTCGCCCCCACCTCTCGACGCGTCATCAGGCCCCGCCCCCAGAGCCTCATTTACATACGGGGCCTGCCGCCGCCGCGGCCTGCCGGGACCCCGCCCTCCTCTTCTGACAGGCTTGGCGGGCGTCTGGTCCTCCAGCCTCCAGCCCCGCCCTGCTCGTCACCGTGGCAACGGGTGCGGCGCCGGGAGCCCTGGGGCGCCTAAGGCGGAAGCCGGGATGACGCGGCGTGATCGCAGTGGGGAGGAAGCGCCGGGCAGGCTTTGAGGCCGCCGCGGCTGCTTTGGTCCGCGCACCCCAGCCGGAAGTCAGGAGGCGCGGCCGGCCGGCGATCATGGCGGCGGGCCCCGCGTCCTCCCTGGGCGGCGCCGCGTGGCCCGGCTCCGAGGCCGGGGACTTCTTGGCCCGCTACCGGCAGGTGTCCAACAAGCTCAAGAAGCGCTTCCTGCGGAAGCCGAACGTGGCCGAAGCCGGGGAGCAGTTCGCCCAGCTGGCCCGCGAGCTGCGCGCCCAGGAGTGCCTGCCCTACGCCGCCTGGTGCCAGCTGGCTGTGGCGCGCTGCCAGCAGGCACTCTTCCACGGGCCCGGGGAGACGCTGGCCCTCACCGAGGCCGCCCGACTGTTCCTGCGGCAGGAGTGCGACGCGCGCCAGCGCCTGGGCTGCCCGGCCGCCTACGGCGAGCCTCTGCAGGCGGCCGCCAGCGCCCTGGGCGCGGCTGTGCGGCTTCACCTCGAGCTGGGCCAGCCGGCCGCCGCCGCCGCTCTGTGCCTGGAGCTGGCCGCCGCGCTGCGCGCCCTGGGCCAGCCGGCCGCCGCCGCGGGTCACTTTCAGCGCGCCGCTCAGCTGCACCTGCCCCTGATGCCACTGGCTGCGCTGCAGGCGCTCGGCGACGCGGCCTCCTGCCAGCTGCTGGCGCGCGACTACACGGGCGCCCTGGCGCTCTTCACACGCATGCAGCGCCTGGCACGGGAGCATGGAGGCCACCCGGTGCAGCACCCCGAGCTGCCACTGCCCTCGCCGCCTGCCCCTGGCCTCCAACCAGCCCCGCCAGGACCCCAGCCAAGTCGACCTGGCTCAGCCCCGACCCCGACCCCGCCCCCGCCCCCGCCCCTCCCGCTGCTCCCGGACCACACCCCAGGCTCTGCTGCCCCTTCTCCTGGCACACTCGGTGCCTTCGCAGACGTCCTTGTCAGGTGCGAGGTGTCCCGCGTGCTGCTGCTGCTGCTCCTGCAACCGCCGCCCGCAAAGCTGCTACCCGAGCATGCCCAGACCCTGGAAAAGTACTCCTGGGAGGCTTTCGACGGCCACGGCCAGGGCCAGGATAGCAGCGGCCAGCTTCCTGAGGAACTGTTTTTGCTCTTGCAGTCGTTGGTCATGGCTGCCCACGAAAAGGACACGGAAGGCATCAAGAAGCTGCAGGTGGAGATGTGGCCGCTGCTGACTGCTGAGCAGAACCACCTCCTTCACCTCGTTCTGCAGGAAACCCTCTCTCCCTCGGGCCAGGGGGTCTGATAAGTCACCTGAACCAACCAAACAGTCTTTCCTCCTGGTGCCACTTTGTTTTATCTTTGGGGACAGGTGATGGAAGATGCGACCTCGTTTAGGGTTTTGGTTTCCTTTTCTCGTTTGTTTGTTTCCTTTGCTTTTCTCGTTTCCATAAAGGGACACCGAGCTAGTTTAGCTGCGCGTGCCTAGCTTATTGCATAAATTAGTGCCCTCCCGGTCCAAACCAGCTGCCTCACACGAGGTAACTTCATCCTTAAGGCTGGACGAGATTCCACTGTGTAACGATCTGCTTTCTTTATGTGTTGGTCTGTTGCTGGATGCTGGCTGCCTTGGTTTCTTTTCCTGGCTCTTCGAAGTGTGGAGACAATAAACGCGGGAGGACGGATGTTGCTTTGGCATATTGCTTTCCTTTCCTTTCCTTTTTCCTTTCATAACTGGCGGGGTCTGGCACCGCGGAGAAGTTTTTAGAAGAGATGAGCAATGTTTCTGCCTTGAAACTTATGAGGATTTTTCCGATTTGGTCATAACCCCTCTCGTAATATATATCGTTCCTTGATTTCCTTACAAATTAGCACAACAGTGCAGGGAGTAGGAAAAAAGCAGATGGCATGAAATATGATTGTCATGCGGTCTGTGTACCTGAACATGAGGACTAAGTTGGTAAGCAGAATGGTCATGCTATCTCGTACATTCCAGACGCATTTTTACTCTCTGCACACTCTGCTAGCACGGGCCCTTCCTGACTGGGTGGTGGAAGCCTTTCTTCTGAGCTACACACACACGATGACCTGTTGGTGCTCCTGCCTTTATCGGGTTGCAGCAAGCTTGCATTATCCGGGGGTTTGGGCACAGAGACTGCTCAAAGTCTCTGGGGGTAGGTTCTCTGTTTCCAAACCGGGGTTAGCATGGCTCTCGTTGTGAAACACAACACAACTGCCCCCGTGCAATCAAGATCTATCCTCCCAGCCAATACCCAGAGTCCCTTATCTCTGCCTTTATGAAAGTTCCGTGACCTGAGAAATCTAATTCCTTGTGCTCCCTTAAATATGCTTGCCTTGGAGACTAGAGTCACCGAACTACGTAACCCGGCGCACAAAGAAATGGTTCCTTTCTCGGAATCAGGTGAAATGGTGAGTGGCCAATTCCACTCTTCTCTGTGGTTCCTCAGTCCTCCCATTTTGCTTTCAGAAAGATGGTGTCATTTTGAACACTGGTTTAGGACGCCCGGGCGCATCCGGCAGGGTAGCATTCCACCATTCCCTACGTGGTTTTCCCATGTTGTCACCCTATTGAAGCCTGAGTCACACCACCATTCGATGAAGCCCCCTGATAACTGGCCAGTAGGGTGTGTGGTACAAAACCAATAAATCCCATGTGCTGCCTGACTCTGTTTCCTTTTGCTGATGAGACAATAAATACCACCGTTGGTACTAACTGTAAAGAACAGGTTTGTTATGGTTTGTGCTTCGGGTCAAGACAAGGTCTGCTGGTAGCTTTCTTACATTCAGTGTCCCCAAGGGGTAGAGGGCGGTGATGGCAGAAGAAGTGGGGATGGGGGGAGAGACCGAGGCCGCCTGGCTTTCCTATGGGGTACACTTTCACATTACCAGACCCTGAAGGTCCCGCCTCTGGCTGACTATACAGTGTACCTTCTGGCACCTTCATGAAACAATGGGAGTGTGGGTAGGCAGAGGTTTCCCCGTCCCGGGAGCTGCTTCCAAATGACCACACAGAGACTTAATTAATTGCAAATGCTTGGCCAGTAGCTCAGGCTTATTGCTAGCTAGCTAGCTCTAGCACTTTTGAGATAACCCATATTCCTGCTTCATGCTCTGCCACGTGGCAGTACCTTTACTAGCGTGGCACGTTCACCTCCTGCTCCCTCTGCGTCTGGGTGGTGACTTCTGACTCCACGCTTCTCCTTCCCAGCATTCTCAGTTTGGGTCTCTCGCCTAACTTTACCCTGTTCAGTTACTGGCCTGGCCAGTCGGCTTCTTTATTAAACCAATCGCAAGGACAAATGTCCGCGATGTACAAAAGGGTTATTGCACTGCATGCCCCTCCCCCCTTTTATTTTTGTCATTTCAAAGAGGAAGGTCCTGACTTCGACATGATACCATTATATGTGGCAAAACAGTCATTATGGAAGAATTACAGTTACAACACCCAGTCCATTTGCATTTGGCAAAATTAGAGAAAATACACTATTATCTATCTCATCTTGGAGAGTCTAAATTTCTACACCTAATTTATCTTTTTATCACAACTAAGGAAAACTATAATTGTAACTGCCTAGGCTTCAGCTCCAACAAAGTTCCCAGAAGGGTGAAACTTTACCTAGTAATGGCAGGGACATTACCCCGGACAGTCCTCTGAATGGCTGGAGACGGAGCTAGGCAATAAGAAACGATAGTAAGAGGTCAACAGCTGTATATCTAATACAGACTCTCTGTGTGCTATTTGCGGCTGGCGAGGCTGTGGGACCAGGCCGCCGGGAGAAACCTTCTCGTAACAATATGGAGTTTGCTTCCATCTGTGGTAAAGTGAGGCACTGGGCAAGAAACAGCCCTTACCTCAACTGCTGAAAGTGTGCTGTTCAAATTGCACAAGCGAGACACAAAAGAAGGCGACTGCCGAACATTGCCATGACAAGGAAGGGAAGACCGTCAAGATTCTTGCTTCACACAGAAGTCTGTCAGATATGCTAGGCCTGTAGGCTACAGATGGATGCCCCAATGATGCAGGGGAACCTTGGGTGACTGTCCAGGCAGCCAGCTGTCTGTCATTTCTGTAGTTTCGGTAGAAGTATTCTCTGTACTTCCTGTTCAACCAGGCAATATTTTATCCTTCTCGAGTCTCTGATAAAATAGCAGACTAGATACCTATACCATTTTCTTTGTGACCACATTAAGAAAAGAAACTTCAGAAGAGATGTAACGCTCACATGATTGAGAGACATAAACACAAGCTTATTGTCTAAGAAAATATTTTAAGGTCTAAAAAGATATTTTCAGTTTGGTATTACAAGTTATGATAGAAAGTGGTTAAGATATAAAACTTTGGGCTCATCAAGATAGTATAGATTGTTGGTATTTAGGCATTTGACTGGCCTGCCTTTGGAGTTCTCACTAGATATGCCCTCACCTGGGCCTATTCAGTATGTTCCCCTTTCAAAGGTCCGTGCCCACCTCCCATCCTTCTCCCTCCCTCTCCCTCTCTCTCTGTCTCTCCCTCCCTGTCTGTCTCTGTCTCGCTCTCTGCCTGTCTTTCCTGCTGCTCCTGTCCCTAGAGGCCAACGCCTCTATCCCTAATAAAGAATCCCTCCACTTGAATTCTGTCATATTGCACCTTTCTCTCTCGAGCTGTTTTGTTTTTGTTTTTTATTAAAACACAGATAGAAGAGTAATTTCTCCAATTCTGTCAAATACAAATGGACTGGACATCATAAATGGAATCCTTTTCTGATAGTTGTTCTTATTGTATATAGTTTTGCTGTGTTACGGTCAAAACCTTTCCTCTTTATTTAAAGGGAGGAAATGTTGTGGGATATCTGGTCACACTCTGAAACCGTTGTAATACAGTTCACCTTGAATCATGGGGCCAAGTCAAAGTCTAGTTGACTAGAATTGGCCGTAGAGATTTTGGAATTCCCAGGATACTATATTGAGAAACAGGAATGAACAGAGAGGGGCTTAGAAAATTTGAGGGGGCTAGAAATAGGACTCAGAAGTTAAGAGGTCTGGTTCCTCTCTTAAGAGGTCTGAGAGAGAGAGAGAGAGAGAGAGAGAGAGAGAGAGAGAGAGAGAGAGAGAGAGAGAGAGGAAAGGCATGGGACCATTTCTGTTTTAAAAGGCATGAGATGTCAGCAGGAGGGTGCAATTCAGTGACCCATCCCAGCAATTCTGAAACAATTTCACGTTTATTAAATCAAATGTTTCCAAGTAAAGACTTCCCACGTCAGGTAGAGCTATACCTACATCCATGAAATCACAGGGAAGGAGCTTTAAGTGTACAGAACATGTCCTATATCACTGACGTTCACATACTACGTGCACAATAAATTTGAAAAACAAAGCATTCTCAGTTACTCCTATCCATACGAACGATGAAATGCCCATACCATGAGGGACTGAGCTGTATACATGCTAAGGATCAACTCTAATTGTGACAGGCAGATGGCATTTGATAGCAGACCACATTTGATGGAAAGAAAGACCTTGTCAATTTTGTCTGAAAGTGCTATTTCACAAACTCATGGCACGTTACTCACATCGTTCTAACTCGGAAGGTTCAAAGAATTCTACCAGTTTAAGTAATTCTGAGGCACAGTCTTTTAAAGTAGACAGGGCACATTCTCTTTGGGAAGCTCTGTGTATAGTACACAGGGCACATTCCCTTTGGGAAGTTCTGTGCCATAGGCTCCAGGACTGGACAAATTTAACACCAGAATGTAAAGGCAAGAGTGGTGTGTATTCTTTAAGTATTTCTCTGACGATGACAAGGATGAACCACTCTTGTGCCTTCTAATTTGGGAAAGTGATGCCGAGGTACAAGACCCCAGTGTATCGACATCAATGCACTGCTAGCCGTTAGTTACGATGCTACCAAGGAAAACTCGCCATTATTACCCGCGGACTGGGGTTCTTACAGCCAACGTTGGACTGCGGTCACACAAATCCTTGGGTCCCTTTGCATTTTAACTTAAAGGGGTATCTTTAGGAACAGGAGAACACAAGAAGATGTCATTGTAGAAGCTGCAAACGTCAAGCAGCTCCACCCAGCGAAGTTCCAAGAGACAACCGCTCCCCTTGTATGAACTTCTGTTTCTTCCGAGTATCATGAGAATAACAGATCCAGGAGAGACTGTTGAGCAGCAGCACTCTCTTGCTGGTGCTGTTAAGTACAAGGACATATTAACTGGGTTGAAAGTAGACAGTGCCCATCCATCCTCATTTTCCACACGAAAGACTCAGTACTTACGTTCACCATCAGGAGTTTTATTTCCAAGGTGGCAATTAGGTGTCTCAGTTCTTCAGCCACAGAGTCTCCCCTGGAATCCCTCAGGATCTGAAATTTCTGAAGTGAAAAGACATGTGCAGAAATCAGGCCTGGTCATCTGGGTTTACAAATATGAACAGCAACATTTAAAAGGGACTAAATGTTGCAAAAGTCATGGTTTAACTATTTAAAAAAAATAAAACAAGCATACACTGTGTACAGTGTGAAGACCGGAACACCTACCAAAGAGACACAGACATTGCCACTCCTCCACCCACTGCTGAACGTTTAATCCTGAGGCATTAGCAATGGGGGTGGCTCAGGGGGGAAGTGTGCTTGCCTAGCATATCTGAGCCCCGGGGATCCCTCTCCTCCAACAGCATGAAGAAAAGCAAACAAACACCAACGAACACAGAGACTGTGATGCGGAAGCTCATTGACTGCCACTCACAGGCTTCTCTTGGAGATGGGGTAGCTTGCCCTGTACTATGTATGACCACTGCACACCATGAAATTAAAACTCAAGGTTTGCACCCCCACAGTCCCTTTATCACTGATTGAAATAGCACGGGCATCATCTAAATGGTTTTGTTAAATACCGTGGAGGCGGGGGCGGGGGGGTTTATAAAATTTGGCAGGACCTCTTCTATGATCTGGTGATGTGACAAACACAGAAACGGGAACAACACGGAGACCTAAACGTTGCAACGGGAAACCAAGATTCTGGGACACTGGGCTGCAGGAAGCATGGCATTTCAGCAGGAACAGACCCTGTCAGTGGTGGGGGGTGTCGTAGGGGACTAGCATAAGAAAGCACGGGATGAAGTCTTACACCTTGGTCGTTTGGGGCCCTCTTAATTACTCTGGATGAACAATATTTTAACAGCAACTTGAATGAGCCAGCTCATATCAAGTCTGAACAAAAACCAGAACAACGAGTGCTTAATGCTTTTGTAAGTAGGCGTAAACCTGCAGATAACGTAGGTCAATGTCCCTAGGAAGTGTTTACAAAGACGGGGGGGGGGGGGGTCATTACTGACAGTAACTCACAAGTCACATACTCTCAGTCTTCCACTTATTTTTTTCCCTGAGTGCTACATCTGGAAGCTGTCTTACAACTCTGATTGGCCCTACAAAACCATGTTTCAGTCACCCAATGGAAAGAAATGAAAATAGACTGAGGAAGGAAAGCAAGGTCAAGTGTGGTATATTCTTGTCACTATGTATAAAAGTGGGTCGTGGGGGTCGGGGAAGAAGGCTCAGTGGGCAAAGAGCTTGCTCCACAACCAACTCCAGCTCTCCGTAACACATGTTAAAAGCCAGGCACGTTGACACATTGATCTGGGGTAAGGTAGGGCAGGCCACCCCAGGGACGTGGGGAACCACCAGTCTAGCCACAGTGATGAGCGAGTAACAGGTTCGGAAAGCGATCCTCTGTAAAAAAAAACAAACAAGGAAACAAACAAACAAGATGGAGAGTTGACTTCTGGCCTCCACCAATACACCCACAGACAAGACAAGTACACCCGTGTGTGCCTGTGTGCACCTATCTACACACAGGATGGAAAACGCACTATGAAACAGGAAGAGATGATCTGAAAAGCATTAATGCCCTGTAACACTGTGGATGAAATAATGGCCAAGGCAGCAATTCCTCCTGCTTCGAGTGACTCTCCCAATCACAAGTGAATCCGAGAAGTAAAAACGCATTTTTTACAGTGATGCCATTAGGAAAATGCCGGAAGATGCTTACGGGTAACTTTCCAAAGGTGTTACCCAAAGAACATAAATAATACCAGAGTGTTCAATGCCCCCTGGCATAGGCTGCTTTCCCAGGATGTACAACGGACCTCCAAGTACTGTTCACACAGTGACTTAAATTCTTCCATTCTACTCTTCTGAAGAATCAGAGTCTGCTGAATGAATATCCGTTGCTCCTTAAACATAGTCTACAAAGACAGTAAAAGAAGTAACAATAATTCAGGAAAAAAATAAAAGACATCTTACAGAAATGTGACTCTGTGTATTCTTTATACACAACAGAGAGAATGAAATAAATGTAGTCTTCCTTTCAACCAAAACAATTACCACGTTTACAAGAGTTACCTAATACTACAAAATAACCTAAGTAATGTGAAGCTCATTGAATTAGTGGAACGTATTCCTACTAAACGGTATTCAGAAACATTCCCATTAGTATCCGAGGACTTGAAAACTCACCCACGAGAGGCCTCCATAGCTGGCGAACTCTATTTTCTACAGAAATTAGCCTGAGATGTCCTGATCACCTGTCACCCCCTACACGGAAACCGGCTCCGTTTTGTCCTTTCCAGTATGAGCAGGCCGCCCCCCCTCCACCCGGCCACCAGGAATCATGGTTAACAGGGAAGGATTCTGTCACACTTGCTTCAGATACTGTCCTGGAACAGTGTAAGAACACACACCTGAATACTTTTATCCACTGTATGAAACAGGGACTTTTAAGAATGTCCCCTTTCACTCCTAGGAATCTGAGGCACAGAGGCAAATTCTTTTCCCGAGTTGGTCTGATTGAGCAAGCCACTGAACTGTGGCTGCCTCCCAACGGGTGAGATTGCAGAGGGAGGCCATGCTCCTGACCACTGGACTAGACAGCGTCTCCATCTCCCTCCGCATTCCAGCCTCTGCTCCCCCACTCCCATCCCCACCTTTGGAAGGCAGAGTCTTCAGGAGGAGGGCAGCTCCATCCTCCACCAGGAAGGAAGATCCCTCAAGGATGGTACTGTCCCGTGCCCAGTACTTGTCCCCAAAAGCTCATTCAAATGCCCATGTTAAAGGGGAGTCAGTCATCACATGTCCATCGTGGCATGAGGCCTTACGTCCCTCTCCTCGGGGAGTGGGCTCGTCTGAACTGGACGCAGTGAGAGCCAAGCCTCCACCTGCTCGGCCACAGACACAGTGACTGCTCTCACTCTGTATCTCTGATCACTGTGTCAGAAGGCTCTGTTGGGGCCCTTGCCCCTGATGCCTGTCTGCACACTGTGGATCAGGAAGGGCTCCCTCTGGGCTTACAGGCCCATACCTTCTCCTGCACTCTCTGGGCAGTGCCCGCTCATCCCCCCCACCCTCCGCCCACCATTCTGCCTCCTAACTCATCACTGACCTTGCCGTCTCTCTGCCTGAAAAGGAGCAAGCCGGTGGCCGGCGAAGAGGGGGGGATGGAGGTGGGATAGCCAGTCCCTCCTGGCCACATGGAACCACCTTCCTGTCTCCCCAAGCTCTTGCCCTGTCCCTTTCTTCCCTCCAGACTTGCTGTAGGAAGCCCTGCTATTTCTGATGCTGACACAATGGGTTCCTTCAAAGCTGAGCCCCACACTCACAGTGAGTTTTTCTGCATGTTTCTTGACTTGATCTGCATCCTTGGATAGCTTCCTACTCAAATTCATAATCTGAAGTGAATAGTCCTGATAAAGGTTCTGCCTGTGAATGATAGTAATGAACAGTGTGATATTCCATCGCAATATGAAGGAAGTGCGTTGACCGCACGACTGCCTTACCTTCACTAAGGCTGTCGATGGATGACGAGGAAATGTCATCTACAATACTCTGACAGGGAACAAGAAGCTGATGTGGGTTACTTTCTCCTACACTAACAGGATTTGTTCCTCCCTGACTGAGACGGCAGTCCCTTCCCGTCCCTTAGAGACAGAAAACTCAGGAGGAACTGTTGTTTCCAGCACATTCCACAAGTATTTATCCGTCAGTGTGACAAGCACAACTTCTGGTTAGAATCCTCTATCTGAAGAGCAGATCCAAAGGGCACGCACCCCCACTACCATCAGAGAATTCTGTGCAGGCCTACCCACTCCTCCTCTCCATGTGCCGCGGAGGATTTCGGTACAGGAGCATAGTAAAAAGTGCTCCTGAAAGCTACAGGACACTGAAGACATGGGGTTTTTCATTTCCATCACATCGCAGAGATGACTGGCTGTCTGCAGGAGGAACGCTTTGAGGATTTCCAGCTCAGCATGCCAAGCACATTCATCATACGATGTATACATACACTTTCGTTACTGTTACACCTAATCAATTGCAATGCCTCAACACGGTCTTTGTAAATCAGACCTAGCAAACGCAGCTGACTTCAGTTGTGATGTGAGAGTATAATAAGACTAAAGGAAGTCTAGGACGTCTATTCTGTACAGATAAAGCAGCAAGCCAAATACATTTTCCTGATGGGAGACGTCATTCCGTAAATATGTTTCTCATACTGGTTAATGGATAAAGCACTGTTGGCCAATAGGAAAGCAAGATACACGGAGGAAGGAAAGAGGAAGGAGTAAGGAGGAGTCAAGATGGAAGACAGGGAGAGCAGAACGCCAGCGGCCTCTCTCTCTCAGGTAAGATGAGACCACGTGGAAGTACTTAGATTAACAGAAATGGGTTAGTGCTTGAGACAGAGCTAGCCGATAAGAAACTAGTACCTGGCCAACAGCTTTATATCAAACACAGACTCTCTGTGTGTAATTTGGGGCTGGCACCACAGTGGGACGAGACCGGCAGCGGGGGGAAAACCTACTCCTTACTTTTACCAGCGGCAGGGGAAAAACCTACTCCTTACTTTTTCCAGGTGAGGTTCTGGCCACTGGAGAGTCACGGCTATTCTCCACCCTCTTGCCATCATGCTTACTAACCAACTGTCAAAAGGGCCTGGGATCAAGGCACCAAGAAGCAACAGCCATACCTTTGTTCACACTGTCTTTTGAGAACATCCTCAACTTTCTGCTCCATGGTTTCGAAAGAGGCAGCGATGATCGCTGTGAATCTTTCTCTGTTCCCCTCAAGGAAGTGCTTAATGGGCTCTGTATTGAAATATAATCTTTGAACCATTACCGTAAAGTTCCCTCACGCTCAGCTTTCAACTTCAAAGACACTTGTTATCAATAGAAGGAAGTAATCTGTCAACGATAATATTATTTGTCTCCTTCCTTTCAGGCAAGAATTTCAGTGGTTCACAAGCCTGATGTGAAACTGGATAGCTGGACGTCAGTGTCCACATATTACATACAAAACACAGTGAATGGGGTCTTAACAAAACTTACAAGAAGGGTTGTGAGTCACTGTGGAAATTCTCTGAGACCTCTTCTGTAAAGCACAAATGTAATGAACGTACGGAAATACCCTCCAGTTCAAGGACCCTTTCAGAGGTACTGCTGGGCCACTTTGTGCAAAACATAAATGTAGACGATTTACAAAGACCTCCAAAGACCCAGTGATTATCGCACTGCGAGATGAAAATACTCCATTTACTTTAGGCATTGAAGGTTTTACACAAATCTGACAAGGTAGCCACCCTGAATAATAATTTCAAGGTGAGGGTGAGGGTGTGGGAGGGGGGCGTGTTGAGAACCACACTGAGTTGTCCAAGGGTGCGGTACTGGGGAAGGAACCCAGAGCCTTAAGCATACTTGGTAAGTGCTCTCCCACTCAGCTACATCTCTATCCTGATTCCTGAATAGCTTCTAGATATGACTCACTGTCAAAATTCTCTGCAGGCATCCCAGCCACTTTTGCTTTTATAGATTGTGTGACGAACGTCTCACACAGCCGTTTAAAGCAGGACTCTGTCTGACCATACAGCGGTCACAGGCTAGCAGTGCTGACTGACTTCAGCTTGCTACTGCATATGCTGTTTTTGCACATTAAACAACAGTAGGTAGCTATTTCAGAGGGGTTAACCCTCAACGCCCACCTGCAGAAATAAAGAGTTAGGCTAGGAAATGAACGAGTGGGGTTAAAAAAGAAGTTTGGTATTAACAGTAGGCATGGCACTCGTGTGAATCAAAGCCTGGAAGACAGATAATGTCATCAAATTTTAGAACTTCTCACAGCGAGCAGTAAATAGGAGCAACTACACTGCAGGTGCCATGCTCTCCGTATCGATGATTAACGTCAAGTAGAGAGACGGTGATCTAATAAATACTATTTTGACACTGAGTGTCGGAAAACGAGGCACTAGTAACCACACTTCTCTTATCTACCAAGGGACAACTCCCTCGCCTTGCACTTCTTTGAGTCAAACGATTTTCTCACATTCCTAATGTCTCCTAGAACATACCTTCAAATTCTTCAAATAAATCCTGTATTTCCTTCCTGCAAAGAAATCACATTATTATTTTTTTTTTTACTTGAAGGTACACAAAAGGCCATTTTTTTGTGGTGTGAGTGGAGGAAGTGGAGCATGCCACAGAGCCCACAAGCAATTCACATTTCCAGAGCAGGTGTTGACTTTTCCTGGATTTCTTTCTGTGTAGAGGAAGGGCACGTGTGCACCTGTGCCGACCTCAGAGATACAAGTGCGGAGTCCTGCTCTCTCCATGGCCACCTTATTCCTGCCAGACAGGTTTTATGACAGGACCTGTATGCAGTTTGCTGGAGGCATGAGATTTTCATTTCTTATCACACTGAACAACTGACTGACTTCGGGGTGAATGCTTTGAGGCCTTTAAGCTCGATGCACCCAGTACATTCATTCATTCGGTGCACACACCTTGCTTTTGGTCTGTCTGTCTGTCTGTCTGTCTGTCTAATGACCTCAGTTTTTTTTGTTGTTGTTGTTGTTCAGCTGGCAGTCAGCAAACACTCGCAATCCTCCTGCCTCTGATGGACTGCCTCTCCCCTCAGTTCTGGGCTTAGAAAGGCGTGCCTGGCCATGCATGGCTTTTTCTGTGGGTGCCTTGGATCTGAACTCAGCATCTTGTGTTCCTACACCAGGCACTCTTGCGCTGAGCCCGGCTGAGCCCGAACCAGCCCGCCCCAGCCCGACTCGTCTAAATTTATGAGAGGGCGTAAACGATGACCCATGTCACCTGGCCTGTTGCCCTTCTGTTCCAGAGGAAGTAATGTCCTCATCAGTGATATCAATGACTTCTTGGTCAGCTGCATTAAAAAGAAAGGAAAACTATTTTGAAGTGAAATTTGCTGTTCTCGTTATCCCCCAGTGGAAAACAGTTTCATTATGGGGGTTTCTAGAACCCATAGACAGCAACGCGGTTACTTGTACTTTTTAAAGTAGTCATCCCTGAAGTCATGCATGTGCATGCACACACCTCACACTCATGCACAGTGAGGCATGCTCACGCACGCGCACACACACAGGCACGAACACACACACAGACAGTCATGAAACTCTTCGGACTTGAGGCTGGCAACAGTCGGTGCGGACACCTGTAAAGGCCTTCCAGAGAGTCACTGTGACCCACGTGCTCCCAGAGAGGCACCTGGCTGAGCCTTGCAGGTTTCCTGTGTGGTGAAAATTTCAACTGGGGGAATGTAATGCCACAAAAAACAGCTTGAGCAAGTTATTAGCTGTTCCAAGCAAAGTCCACGCAACCAACTCACCCGCTCAAGTGTTCTACCTGCCAAGAGATTTTCAGACGTCTCCTTGGTGGACACAGTCCTACAGGAGCCCACCAGTTTTTTTTTTTTTTGTTGTTTGTTTGTTTGTTTTTTGTTTTGTTTTTTTCTTCTTTTACCTGGGATGACTGCATCTGGGTTCTGGGTGTCGTCTGGTATGAGATTTGGATCCAGCCTTGTGTGCATGCCAGCACTTCCCGTGGCTTTCCATTCCCTGCTTGACATGGTTAGAATCTTCTTGGGCTAGACAGGATTCCGGGAACTACAGATAGCAGGAGGCATTACGAGACTGGGCAATGAAACAGGGACTGGGAGTCCACAGGGTGTGGCCAGGTGCCCTTGCTCTTGCGGCAGAGCAAAGAGACGGTGAGGGGAGGTCACCAGTGTTCTGTCCTGTCTCATTTCTCTACCTGAAAATGGAACTCCAAGACCCCCCTACCCCTCAAGATCGGAACTCTCTGCCGTTTCTGAACCCTTGGCCAGGAAAAGCCTGGGCACTGTCCCTCCCCTGCCCTGCAAAACAGGACGCCTAATTCTGGTGGCTGGTTGGGAGCTCCAACCCACTGAGGGGCCTACTCAGTCACCGAGAAGTCCAAGTCTCCCCGCTCATGAGGCGTCCCCTCAGACCTCCCGATCCCTGTAGCCTTCAAGACCCCTCCCTAGCCTTGCCCTCTGGGGCCTTTATCCAGTCCCATTTGGAAGTGAAGCTCCTCATATCACCCCACAGGCTTGCTGCCTTTGTCATGCCCCTTTGTAATCCCTCCATCGCACCGCAGAAGATAAGGAAGGCTCCCCCTCCCTGATCCCTGTCACGACTAGGGAGACCCATAAGAGAGTTCCCCAATAGGCAATCAATCGTCCACCAGGGTACTCTCCCTCCCTGGGAGCCTCCTCCTAGGCATGTGGTCACACCCATATAGGCCCCACCTCCCAACGCACAACTCTCATGCACACCCAAGGTGAAGTGGCTTAAAGCGGCCCTTGTGAGATCTGGATGCATGCAGAAGCTGCGGGTTGGTGAAGGCGCCCGGCCCTGCCCCAGCGCCCTCAGATAGGCGTTTCTGCCGAGGCGAGGCCCATGGCTGCATGTAGGCGAGACCCAGGTGTCACACACCCCCACCCGAGGACTCCTATTGGACAGGGACAGAGAAATACGTGGATGGTCACTACTGCCTCTTCCACACCTCACTGTCACAGCCAGCTCTCTTCAGACCCACAACCCTCGGGACCCCTTCCGCCACCGCCTTCCGTGTTCTATTTCTTGACCAGGCCTGAGAGCGAGGCTTCCAAAGCTCCCATCAGAGATTAACCCTGACACTTGTGCCTCGAGACCCCGTTCCCCTCGCCGAAGGGCTGCGGATCCGGGCTGATCCGGGGCTTGTGACTGAGTCCGCTGGTTACCCGCCAGTCGCCTGGTCGAGCTGACCACAGTTGAGTACGTTCCTGTGAGAGGCTCCTTGCCCGCCTCCTGGAATGATCTAGTGCTAGCTGAAGCACCACTGTGCAGGCACGCCCGAGGCTGAGCAGGGGCACTCCCGAAGGGCAGGTGTGAAGCCCACCCATCAGTCACCCATTGCCGGCTTGGACGGCCCCGTGTGCGTGCGCAAAGTGCCTGGGCTTCCCCTTCCCCTTCCCTCCGAGTAGCCAGCCTGCCGAGGTATTGCCAGGGGAGGGATCACGGGAGGACCCAGTTGTCCAGTCAGGGCCCAAAGGCTACAGGGACACGGGCAGATGCGGGAAGCCCGCAGGCCTCTCCCAGTCCACTGACTGCCCCACCCACTCTTCTAGGAACCTGCTGCCCTCACCAGCGCGTTCCGTTCTTGGTCCCGGAGCCTCTTCCCGCCCGAAGTGGACCTGACGTGCAGCGCCCGCGTCACCGCAAGTGCTACCCTGCACGCTCTCGCTGTGTGACCCACTGTCCTAGTCGAGAGCTTTCATCGTCCCCGATGCCTCCAAACCGCGCCCGGAGCCGCAGCGCGACCCCCCGAAACGGCCCCACAGCGCACACGCAGACAAAAGCACACAAGGCCGCCACCCACCGAGGCCCGTGCCTCCGCCAGGCCAGAAAGCCTCCTTCCCCTCACGGGTCGGGTCGCTCAGGCTTAGTTTGGCCCCACCTCCCAATACGGCGCGCTCTGATTGGCTGGCGTCACAGCGCTTGCGCATGGGCACGCGCATGCGCAGGGGCACCGGCAAGGCGCGCCCCGTCACGGGGTCCATCGCCCCTCGTCCGGTCACACTTGCCTTCCTGGTGAGGGCAGGCCCGTGGCTTCACGTCATCGGGCCACGGCCACAGCCAGTCCTGCCCATCCACGCTGTCCGGGTCAGGCATCCCAGGCTCTGTATTTCTCAGACCTCTTCTCTGAGCCCGCAGGGCTGACGGGTCCAGTCCGCGGCTAAGCCAGGCTCAGGCACATTGCATCCCAGGCCCTCTTGGGCATGGGGGGCGGTCCCCACCATGCTCCCGCAAGGGCTGGGGTTCAAGCATTAAACTTACCCTTCCCAATGTAGCTTACCGGAGGATGCCCTGTCAGGCAGTTACTCACCTAGCTGACCCGAACCCGAACCCGAACCCGCCCTTCCACCGAGAGCTCCCCTCCCTTCGGGGGAGCAGTCACAGCTCATGAGTCCCAGCCTTTCCCATGGACATGTCCCCGCCCCTGCATTTTTGCTGGAGGGGCGTGCTCACATGTGCCTCAGGCCGCGCATGAACACGTGAGCGAGGTGGCCGCTGCACGTGAGAATGCATGCCTGATGGATAAGCCATTAGACTCGTCTCTCCATACACGCCCTCCGCCCCTAGGGCTCTGTGAAAAGGCAATGTGTGATTGCCACCGCCAGAGCCTCGCCATGGAGTCCCTTAACAGTCAGTCAGTCACACACACACCTCCACCGCCCTGATGCAACAGGGCACCCTACTTTAAGACACTTCTACTTTAAGAGTGTCAAGGCTCGTGTCCCCTTAAAGGCCACCTTCCTGAGTAGACACTAAGGTTTGCCGAAAGAGCACCCATGCGGGAGGCAAACCCTTCGGGTCTCGTATCAGACTATCTTAGTCAGGGATTCTGTTGCTCTTATACAACACCACAGCCAAGGCAACAACACAGAAGAAAGAGTTTTATTCGGGGATTGTGGTTCCAGGGCGTTAAGGCGCCATAACAGCAGGGAAAGCAGGTGGCAGACCTGGCAAGCGCAGCTGGAAGCTGGAGCTCAGGGTCCCCATCTCAAACTGCAAACGGGAAGGCAAGAGACAGAGACTCCAATTAGAGCCACCCATGTTTTATTTATTGATTACTACTTTGTTTTGGAATGGATTTGCACTTATTGATAGAACTTAAGGTCAATTTGGCGATATGTATATTTCTCCTTTTGTTTAGGTACTGTGTTTTTGTAGCTCATTTAGAAATGTAATATATAATGTAGTACAGATTATAGACAATTGCCTATGATAGTCTCAGCTTAGAGTTAAGTTAGTTAAGTTTTTTCAAGATACACAGAGATGTATCTGAGACAGAGAGGCGTTCTTCTTCAAACCTTTCAAAGACCTACACAATATGGCATTTAAAATGGTTTAGGGTTTTTCTTGACAGTGAGACATAACTGCTCCTGGCAGCACCACCTGAGTCAGAAAGGAAGATGGACATCGAAAAAACACATATGGAGTTTACCTCCAGTGTGGCAAGGCTAGCCATATGGACACGATACTGCTCTTGCCTGGACTGTTTGATGTTATGCTGTATAAACTGGACATGCAGGACCCACAGAAAAGTGACTGCTGATTCAAGGTGGACAGTGCTACAGAGTTCCTGCTTCATGAAAGGGTCTGCCAGACAGTCTGCAGGACACAGAGAAAAGTGACTGACAAACTGCCAATACAAGTGGACAGTTTGAAGTTTCCTGCTTTACTGAAAAATCTTTCAGACACACTATGGCCTATGGGCTAAAGATGGAAGATTACAAAAGAACTTCAGGTGACAGACAGGCAAGATGTCTCTGTCATTTCTAGAGTTTATGTATTTCTAGAGTTCTGTGGTCTGTGAAGAAATTAAAGACAAATAGTTATGGTTATAGTTTTCCTCAGTTACGCTTAAAGAAACGTTACATATAGGACTTTAGATTCACAAATATAGGTTAGATGATAAAATAGTTTCTTTTAATCTTACTAAATGTTACTGGACTAAATACTGTTAACTGTGAGTCTTACGTGATAACTGTTGTGTTATATATTTTGCTATGTTAAGGTTAAAACCCCTCTTTTTAGTTAGACAGAAAAGACGAGATGATGGGAGATGTCATTCTGTAAATATGTTTCTCATACTGGTTAATGAATAAAGCACTGATGGCCAATAGGAAAGCAAGATGGGGGGGGGGGGGGACTAGGAGACTAGGAGGAAAGAGAAAGGAGGAAGGAGGAGAAGATGGAGGGCCTGGAGGGAGCAGAACTCCGGCTCTCGGTAAGATGAGACCACGTGGAAATACATAGATCAACAGAAATAG